CGAGGAAATTATTAAATTTAACATACATCCATATTTTCCAATTAACTTTTAATTCCTAATTTATTAAAATAATTAGATGATAAACATGATTTATTCTTTTAAATATTGTTTTTATTATATGCATCAGTTTTGTTTTCTTTTCCTTACCACCATTCTTTTTTTCCTCTTTCCTGTACGTGTATAAGATGAATTAGGTTTTAAGATTTCAATAATTAGAATAGTAATTTATACACATGTAATTTTTTTTATATTTCAAATAAACTTAGGTTTACATACACAAATCTTTAAAACTTATAATATTTTGCCTTTGTATAATAAGCTTTTGTGCTCTGTCAATCTTCTCACAAAGTAATTTTAAATTTCAATAATCTTTGTTCACAAATTTCCTTTCAGCCTTTTCATTAGAAAAAACATCGATTACTCTCTTATTCGATAGATGAGATAGATTACAACACTCTATTTTAGTTTGTGAGATTTTTTGGTTTGTTTTATTGTTTACAACATAGATATCATCACAAAAAATAATTAGAATAGTTATTATATGTCATTAGAATAGTTAAATAAAAAACATATTTATCATGAAAAAATCTATTATATGTCATTAGAATAGTTAAATAAAAAACATATTTATCATCGAACCGTAGTACGTCTTATCAGAATTAACAAATACGTAAAATTTGTTTTTCATCAAAAATGACAATATTCGATTCGTAAGAGAAAAAGAAAAGTCAAATGATTAAAAACATGAATAAGTCTAATTTAAATAGAAATACGTAAATCGATTCGTCAAGATTTCTTTTTTAAATAGATATATGAGTAGTTACATAATAAAAAATAAACTTAAATTCAAATAGGAATAGAACAAACTAACTTTTAGAAATATATTAGAAAATTTAATTGAAAATTCAAATAACATAAGAAAAAGTAGAAAATTCAAAATAGATAAAATATTTGTAGACTTCGTTATGGGTGTTTTAGCCTTGACGTCTTCAATCTTATGTTATATATTTTCACGGGTGATTTGATTTGATTTTCTATTTTTGTGTTTTTTTACTAGTTATAAAATATTAAAAGATTTAAAATAATACAACTAAAATATGAGAATAAACTCACCAAGATTTTTTAAAATAGATTAAAATGCAATACCGATTCAAACAGAATAGAAAAACTAATAATTTAAAAATATAAAAGAAATCAATAATTTTGCATCAAATATCTCAAAATTATTTTATTTATTTTACAGGTAATTTAATTGTTTTTCCTACTTTTAATTAATTGATTTCATTTCCTATATATTATAAAATATTATATTACAAATTTGCATATAATTTAGTTTCAAGATAAATACTTTAATGGTTAATATTTTGAAAAATCGTATTCTAGTTTGTTAAC